CCCGTCTCGAGGCTCCCGAGGTTTTTGGATGCGAATCCGGTCGTCCCCGGCGACGCGGAAGCGAGGCAGGGGCAGAGCGGTGGATTGGCAAGACGGCTCCTCCTCCGACCCTCGGGGGCCGCTCCTCGCCCCCCGATGGCTCGGAACAGGAGGAGGAGGAGGGGGTGGAGGAGGGGGAGTAGGAGGAAAAGGAGGAGGAGGAGGAGGAGGAGTAGGAGGAGGAGGAGGAGGCGGAGGAGGAGGAGGAGGAAGACGGGGAGGGGGAGGAGGAGGAGGCGGAGGAGGAGGAGGAGGAGGAGAGGAGGAGGAGGTGGAGGATGAGGAGGAGGAGGAGGAAAAGGAGGAGAGGAGGGGAGGAGGAGGAGGAGGAGGAGGGGGGATGACGGAGAGGAGCGCGAAGTCTCCTGGAGGGGCGCGGGTGCGGCCGCTCCTCGCCGCCCGGGTGGACCAGTACTCCTTCTCTGCCCATAACAGGAGGAGGAGGAGGCGGAGGAGGAGGGGGTGGAGGAGGAGGAGGAGGAGGGGGAGGAGGAGGAGGAGGAGGAGGAGGAGGAGGAGGAGGAGGAGGAGGAGGGTGGGATGGTCGGGTCACCACTGAGTCCCCTCTGGCACAACACCGCGTCGGCGACCGCTGGAAGAGCACACGGCGGGGCCCCGCGCCGCGCGGCGTCGAGGGGTCCATCAGGCCACTCCGCATCTGGAGCAGAGCTGAACACTGCATGACTTACCAGCCTGGAACATATCCCTATCCATATGCTGGGCATCGCCCCATCACGATGCCGATTTTAGGGATCCCCTCAGTTGTGGGGGGCGCATCCCTAACACTGTCATCGCCTTTAGGCGTGTCAATCTTAGGGATAGGGATCAGTTCGAGGCTGGTGAATGACACAACTGGAGTGGAGCTAACAACTGCGCGAGCACAAGCTGTCGGAGCTCTGCGCGGGGTTCCAAGGTCGACTCTGGCGGCGACGCTTCCAGCGGCGACGTCGGCGCGATTTTTCACGCGCCAGGGGACGGGGGCCCAGCGCCGTCCGACGACGTCCCAGCGGACGTCCGAAAGGTATGTATGCCTACAGCAGTTATTATTCTTGCTCTTGAGGGGGAACGAGAAGGGGGGGGTGACTGGCTCAGGGTAGGGACATCGTCGATGCATCCCCCACTGATAGAGCAACACAAGACTGCGCGAATTTCTTGGATCGGCGCTGGACCCCCTTCCCTGGCGCGCGGAGCGAGCCGAGGCAGCGTCGGAGTCACCACCAGGGGGGCCCCAGCGCAGATCCGAGAAATCAGCGCGGACCTCCGAAAAATCATGTTCATGCATGCAGTCTGTTGCTCTTCAACCTGAGCCAGCACCCCCCCCCCTCCAACTTGGAGACGGCGGGGGGGGCTGAATTGGTTGCGATCGCGGAAAATCGGTCGGTCAAGGGAGATAAAGCGTCTGCGGCAACTCATGGGGGCCTCCCATACCATCTTGTTGGCTCTTGCGAATCGACGCCGATCGACGCTAAATCGACGATAATCGACGCTACTCGACGCTAGCCGAGGCTAAATCGGCGCTGTCTCATCGACTCCCAGACGCTATTTTACTTTTATCGGCACTAAAAACGGTTTTAAGAGTGTATACAAGGCTCCCATGTGTTGCTACCGAATGAAACCAAATCTGCTCACAATCGGTCCCTGAACCCCGCCCAAGTTCCATCTGGTGAAGTTTTTCACCCCAGATTAGTTTTTCACTGTCCCGGGACCCAAGAGAAGGAACCCCAGAGGCCGACAAAAGGGCAAAAATCATTCCCGAACCCACAACCTCGCACATGCCCACCCTTCTCGCTGGCCGGAACCAGTGCTGAGCCACCTCAGACCTCCAAACAGCTCCAACCGCCAAAGTTGACCCCGAGCTCCACTAGAGGCCTCCTAGATGGGGTCCGAGTAGATAAAATCGGAAAATGTCGCCGCATCGCCGATGAAAAGGCGATACATCGTCGATGCATCGGCGGCGATGCCTTGGCGGCGCTGGCGTGGGAAAAAGGAGGCTCAACATCGAGCCGCATCGTCGACGCCTCGGCGATGCGGCGCGATCCTCCGACCCCATCTGCTGCGACCCCATCTGAGAGGCCTAGATCCCTCACCGAATCGAGGGCCGCACCTACCTCAGGCCTGCATAGGGGAACAAACAATGACATAAGCATAAAAACTCGGAGGCTCGCGCGGATTCCTCGCATCGGCGCCTCCGGCGCCGCCCTTGGCGCGCTCCGCGCGCCATGGAGGGGGCCCCAGCGCCGATCCGAGAAATCCGCGCGGACCTCCGAGTTTTGATGTCTATGCCACTTTCGGGGATGGACAGACCCGCTTGAGTAAAACGTGGTTTAGTGAAAACGACCTGAGGCCCAAACCAGGCGGGCGCAAGCCTGGAAGATAGCGGCCACGGCGCCCTCTCGAGAACCGAAAACGGACAATCCACTAATCGACGTGTCACTGTTGGGGGTTCTGTCCACCCCCGACACTTCTGTCACCTCCGAGTTTTGATGTCTATGCCACTTCTTGTTCCCCTATTGTTATGTTGTTCCCATCCTACCTAAGGACCACATCCCAGAAATGATTTCGAGCACCCGGAAGAGTGTCAAAAGAGTGTCGAAACAGTGTCAGGCGAGCGTCTCCCAGGGCCCGACACGTGAAAGCCCTTGAGTTTCGGTACTTCTTTGGGCGCTCGAAATTCTTCCTGGTGAACAAGGTGGAAAGAATTCGGTTGGAGCATCTAAGTCGGTTGGAGCATCACAACCCTACTGCAGGCCCCGCGCCGCAGATGGCGCCGCAGGCCGCGGGGGCGAGGCAGCTGTGGGCTCGCAGCGGGGCGGCAGCTGCGGCCACGGCCGGGCCCAGGGGCGGAGCTGGCCCGGCGCGCGGGCGCAGGCTCGGGGAGTGCGCCCTGGCTGCGCCCCGGCGACGACGACGACGACGACGACGACCACGACGACCACCACGACGACCACGACGACGACGCCCACCACGATGACGACGACGACGACGACGACGACGACGACGACGACGACGACGACGACGACCGCGACCACCACGCCGACAAACGACACCACGAGGAATGACGGCGGCGACGACGACGAACAGCTACGATGAAGGACGTCGACCAACAACGGCGGCGACGCGGATGACGCCGACGACGGCGGCAACGACGCCGAGGCGAGCGAGTCGAGCGAGCGCCGAGGAGGGCCGCCGCGCGCGGCCTCCGACGAGGGTGGCCTGTGCCTTCCAGGGGAGGGCCCACCACGGCATGTGCGTAGGCCAAGAGCATGTTCCAATGGCAAAAGCAAGATTCTTCGAGCATGAACCTGACGTGCTGAAGCAAAACTGTCTTAGCCAGAGATATTACAAGAACACGTCGCAAAGATCACAAAAGGTGTTTAGAGCATTCTCTGGTGGGCTTACACGCAAGCCAGGACGCTTCGCCACTGGGCCACTACGCTTCGCCACTGCTCGATGAAGGTTGTCTGTGAATTTTCTCTTGTGGTGGACCTGGCGCTCAGGCACCGCCGGCCCGGCGGCGGCGACATGGCGAGCCCAGCGTCGAGCATGTCTCTGGCGTCGAAGGAGTTGCCTTTGGCTGGGGCAGCGACCCCCATGGGCATTATGTCAACGACGGATGCCCCCAGCGCCAGCGCCGGCAGCCTTCAGGAGCGGCGAACGTGTGCACACCCGCGCCCCCCTCGCGGGTTCTGCAGTCCGGGCAGCGGCCCCGCGGATGCGCGATCTCACGCGCAAGACGTTCCGCGCGGGGCATCCGCGAAAGAGCGTCCCGCATCCGCTGCGTCGCGTCCCAGGGGCATGGCCCGCGAGGCCGCGGATATGGAGATCCCGCCATCGCTCGGCTGTCCAACCCCCCGCGCCTCTTGCGACGTCGTGCGTGCTGCCTTCTCTCTGCCCGAGGGCCCAGGATGCTCCTCGACAGCCCTCGCCGAGAACAAGATTCAATATGCGAAAAACCATATAAAACAATATGTTTCGCTGTCGGGGGCGCCTGTCCCAGGGCGGATGGAAAGGTTGTACCCTTACGGTGGCACGTCAAGGTATAAACTTCCCAGCCGCCCTGGGGCAGCGCCCGCGGTGGGGCAGCGCCCGCCAGAAGACGCAGACGTCCGAGCGATGGCGACTGCTTCGCCGACGAAGCCTGGACGGACCGGAGCACGCGGGAGGCCCGCCGGGCGCGGCCGACGGCGCCGTGCGCCCAGGCGGCGGCTCGCCCTCGGCCGCGCCGCCCGCTGCCGCCTGGGCGCAGGCGGGCCCCGTGCAGAGGCCGCCCGCGAGCCCGCCGGCTCCCGCGGGGGGCCCCGGGGCGGTGCGAGCACGCCAGCTCGCAGCGAGGTCCCCCTGGCGTGAAGTCGGGCACGTCCCCCGACAGGGGGATCTTGGGCGACAAATGCAAAAAAGACCCCAAAATACTACCGAAAAGATGCAAAACAAAAAATCAAAACATCGTCCCCCAGACAATTTCTTGACTGCTCTTGAATCTTCCCCCTATAGAGGGACAGGCCCGACTTCATCCTGGCGAGCGGCGGCGCCCTCGCCCCGCGACTGCCGCGGGGCGCTCCCGGCGCGCGGCGCCGGCTCGCCGCCGCCCGCGGCGCCGCACGGGGCGGCCCGGGTCAGCTGGCCCACGCGCTCGCGAGTGAGCAGCTCCGGCGCCGCGCTGGCCTCCTCTGGGCGCTGAGAGGGCGGATGACGGGTGGAGACGAGGGGAGGAGGAGGAGAAGGAGGGGGCGACAAGAGGAGGAGGGGGAGGAGGGGGAGGGGGAGGGGGAGGAGGAGGAGGGAGGAGGAGGAGGAGGAGGAGGAGGAGGAGGAGGAGGAGGAGGAGGAGGAGGAGGAGGAGGAGAGGAGAGGAGGAGGAGGGGGGAGGAGGAGGAGGAGGAGGAGGAGGAGGAGGAGGAGGAGGAGGAGGAGGAGGAGGAGGAGGAGAGGAGAAGGAGAGGGGAGGAGGAGGAGGAGGAGGAGGAGGAGGAGGAGGAGGAGGAGGGGGAGGAGAAGGATGAGGAGGAGGAGGAGGAGGAGGAGGAGGAGGAGGAGGAGAAGGAGGGTGAGGAGGAGGAGGAGGAGAAGATGGCCGAATTCTGCGGGCCGCAGGGCCCTCGACGGGGCCCAGCAGGTGGACACCTCGCGCTCGCCCGCTCCCTGCTCCAGCGCCGCCACGCGCTTCGCGAGCGTGCCGAGGCGCTCCTGGCTGAGCGCGAACTCGTCCTGCAGCTCTGCCAGATGGACCTTCATAGTCGCCACACCGAAGCGAACATCACTGCTGATGCCCAAGAACAGAAAACTGCATAATCAAAAACTTTCTGAAGCCCGCGCAGATTAGCATCGGCGCGCTGGACCGCCCCCTGCCTGGCGCGCAAAGCGTGCCAGGGGCGGCGCCGGAGGCGCCGACCCGAGAAGTCCGCATGCAGCTCCGAAGGTTGATGTTGATACACGTTTCTCTTCTGTGATGAGGGGGCAAACAGGTACCGATACCGCCACTCCCTGGACCTCTCCTGGGGTGCGCTCTGACCAGAATTCCGAGGTGGACCCAGCCGCAGCGGCGAGGGGTCTCCAGGGCGAGCAGCATTCTGCGGCAACTCATGGGGGCCCCCCATACCATCTTGCTGACTCCTGCGGATCGGCACTAGTCGACGCTAATCATCGCCATCTCGTCGATAACCATACTCTAATCGACGTTAGCGACTCCAGGGACGGAACTGCGACGATATACGAGGCTCCCATTACTCGCGAAGCAGCCATATCGGCAACTCTTCCGCCCCCAAGCTGCCGTCGGATGCGGAGCAGGCGGTGCTCTCCGCGGTGTCCAGGGGAGTGCTGGCCTGAAGGGCAACGATCGGGGGGAACTGGTATAGGGATAGGCACATTGACCTGGAATCGGCGATACATGGTCGAAAGATCGGCGATAGGCCCCCGATCGTGAATCCGCACCTTCCTGGGCAGGTTGGGGCGATCGGGCCCCTGTCGGCGATCATAGGGCGATTGGGGGTCGATGCATCCCTCCCGACGCCTCCCCCTATCGCTGCCCCTGACTCTCGGGCTTCGTTCGGGTTCCAAGCCATGACTCCAGCCTCAGGCGGCGGTTGGGGACGATCGAGACACAACCCGAACGCGCGGAGCGAGGCGCGGCCGCTGGAACAAATCCCGAGGCTAGAACACCGCCGAGCACCAACGGAACCTCCCGAGACCCTCGAGCCCGCAGCCTCCCCCCCCCATATGCCTGCAGTCGCTGCCCCTCATGCCTCCCCCCCCTCATCGTTGACCCTCGGTCCGACTGTAACACCCCCCCGGTCGTTGATGGGGCTTGCTTTCCACCACCACCATAACTTGGAAAGGGGGGAAGGAGGTGGAGGACGAGGAGGAGGAAAGCGAATTATTTCACAAATACACATAAACGATGTAGGCATCTCCAGCATAACCCCTCCGTTCCCCTCCCCTTTCACCGCCAACCCCTGGGGCCCCGACATAGCGCTCTGCGACAGCATCACGGCGTGAAGGGTTGTGAGAGGAGGAGGAGGAGGAGGAGGAGGAGGAGGAGGAGGAGGAGGAGGAGGAGGAGGAGGGCCCCCTCCCCCTCCAACCGATGGTGGTGGTGGTGGTGAGAAACAGGCCCCTCAATCGCTGCCCCGCGAGCGGCCCTGCTGGCCGCCGGCCGCCGGGCGCCCGCGCCGCCGCCGCTGGACGGCTGCGACGCGGAGCAGCGGCTGCCCGCGGAGCTGCGGCTGCCCCCGCCGCCGGTGCTGGGGCGCGGGAGGCAGCTCCGGGGACGTCTTCGCCGAGGGCGCCCGAGGATGCGGGCAGCAATGGGGCGCACAGGAATATGCTGATGCCATAGGTCCTCCTTGTCGGAGGCGCGCGTCCGACCCGAACATACAGTATACCCATCTGGTAATATATCGTTTCCCGAGCGGTGTGGCCAGAAAGCGCCCGCCACGACGCATATACTATAAATGTTCTCGGTGCGCGCGTCGCCCCTGGGGGGGCGACGCACGTACAGTATGAGTATGTTGGGGTGACCCCGAAGCACTGCCGTCGCTCGTTCAGCACAAACTGGCAGGCATCGCCGAGCTCTGAAACCCCGTCTGGAAGCGACAGTCGTACCCGCCTGTCGGAAGGAGTGGGTAGACACGTGAATCAGGAGGGCGGTGGAAGCAGATTGGGCTTCTGCCCGCCCCCTGAAGGAAGAGGAAGGAAGTGGGGCAGCCACTCGATCCTTGAAGCAGGAAGGCGCCTAAAATAAATGGGATCTGGGAGTCCACAAGAGGCTGCTTTCAACGACCGGCGTGTACGCCTTCAGCCCGATGCTGGCCAGGCCAGTCCTGGGCCCTGGACCAGTGCACGTGCATAGTTTTATGTTGGGCATGTCCTCCTACAAGCGGATTTTGGGCGAAAAATGGAAAACAGTAGAAAAATGCAACCAAATAGCCAAAAATAATCAAACATCGTCCCCAGGCTATTTTTGATGTACTATTTTCGAATATTCCTCCTGTAGAGGGACATTCACACAGAGTTGAAGCCCCGCAGGCCAGGGAACTCTGGGCGGGGCCCCAGAAGGGCCAGTGCTCTCCCAGGGCCGAGAAGCCATGCGCCGTCCCGCGCGGGAGAGGGGCCTCAAGGAAGTCGGGGGGAACGCGTGGGGGGGTGCAGGGGGCGGCCGCAGCAGCCTCAGCGATGCTGCCCGCAGTCCATGCGGCAGGGCACGTGGCGGGCAGGGCGCGGCGCCAGGGGCGCCGACGCCAGAAGGCGTGCACGAGGACAGCACGGCCCACCCCCGCCCCCGCCAGGACCCCCACGCCCGACCTGGTGGGTGATCCGGGGGGTCCCGGCTGGGGGGGAGGGGGGGGGGCTTCCTGGCCGCCAAGGGCCCCCAAGAGCTTCCGGGAGGTCTTCGCCGGAGGGGTCCGAGGGGGGCGCCCAGAAGTCGAGGAGGAGATCGACCACAGAGTCAGTTGACACTCGAATTGTTCTTCCATCGAGCCTGGGATGAGTATGTAAAATGCGCGCAGATTTGCAAAACATCCACGCACGCTCTGTAGATTCGACGGAAGCTACAATTCTGCGGCGATCAATTCTGCAGTTGATCTCCTGGTCGAAAGAAGGGTGCCCCTGGGCTGAGGCTCCACGGGTGCGGGGCGTTGTGCTCGCGGGCGCTACCAAGCATAGCGCATCCGAGTGACCGTGCCTCCTCGCCAGACACTGCCCAGCTCAGGGCAGTCTCTCGGCAATGAGAAGGCGGTCTCATGTCGGAGGTCGTAACGCCTTGTAGCCGTTTTGGAAGCACCGTATGGTGTTATGTCTTTTTGGAGGAATGCTGGACGCAGTGCTGGTCCAACTAGGCCTCCCATGCACAAGCTTACAGGCCACCTTTGGGAAAATGCAGTGCCTTGTCCTTGACCGCTCCTTCTAGGGAAACGAGCTCTATACACCGACGCTTCTTGTAACCCTGCGCTGGAATTCGCACGAGAACGCGGATCCTGGCGTATACGGGATACTGTTGTATACATGCTTCGTTGCTTCCCTTGGAAAGCGGGGGAGAAGTATACACCACACCACCCCGACGTCGTCCCCGACCCTCAAAAATTACCAGCTTGGAACCTATCCCTATCCCTATGCTGGGCATCGTCTCATCACGATGCCAATCCAAGGGATTCCCTTAGTTTTTCAGGGCGCATCCCTAAGATTGTCATCGCCTTTTGGCGTGCCAATCTTAGGGATAGGGATACATTGGAGGCTGGTAAAAAAAAAGCCGTGGGATCGGAACAAAACCTGCCACTGGTAGTGTATAGGTTCCAGTCTCCGACCTTCGGCCACCGCCTCGGATATCTGAGCTGGTCTGCGTGCTAAGGGGGGGAAGTGGGAAGGAGAAGGTCTTCTCAGAAGGCGGCGGGACTTCTCACAAAAACCGCGCGCCTTATGAGAAGTTGTTATGCGTCTTCGGGGAAAGCTTTAACAATTCTCGGAGGAACGGGGAACTTCCGAGACAGCCTTCTGCGCAGGTCCACCCCTCCTCAATTCCCCCCTCGGACCTTTCACTGCGGGTACAGCAAACGAACACAACCACATCGAAGACAGGACCTGGGGGATGTCTTGCGCATGCCAAACTTTGTCGGAACACGGAAACCAGATTCGTACAGGTTGTGGTCGATTTGTCGTCACAGGAGGGCCAAATCGACCACAACAACAACGAAAAACATTCATGTCGAGGTCGATGGGTTCTCCCACCAGCGGCTCTCCCGACTCAAATGGGACATAAATCTTTTCTTGTGCCCGGACTCAAGAACGTTCCTTAACCATTGGAGCACGACGTGACGCAACAAGCACGGATAAGGCACCCAACAGGATTGCAGATTCGACACGACACGTCGTTCCCACGCTTCCCTCAGAAATACGTCCCATGGTGCATCGTACGCATGCGGAGATATCACTTTCTGCGGCGAGCAATTCCTCTCTACTCCTTCGCATCGATTCGGATACATCCACCACAATCTTGAGCACGGCGGATCCGAAGACAAGATAGGCCGGATCAAGTTGGACTAAAATGGGGACACGGCCGCAAGAGCCCCCCGCAGGAAACCAAGCGCAAAAAATCAATCAAATGTCTTGTTCAGGGTCTGGGCTTCTAACTCAAGGGATTCGACCCGAGAAACCGAGGGCACCCTGGCCCGAGAACCTTCTTCCCGGGGCGCGAGACGGAAATGCGCGAGGTGCGATGTGTGGGGGGGGACAACCAAGAAGGTAACCGGGGCGCAGCAGCTTCTCAACGATCGGGGGAACTCACCGCGCATCGCCGATGATGGGCCCATTTTCCACCGCCACTACCTTAAATAGGAGAGGGAGGAGGAGGAGGAGGAGGAGGAGGAGGAGGAGGAGGAGGAGGACCTCCTCATCCTCCCTTCTCCCCCGTCCTACATATGGTAGTGGTGGCTGAAATTTGCCCATCAACCTAGAACGTAGACACCCAAGGCAACCTGGGCGAAGACCATCCGGCTTTTGTTGGCGCGCGCCCCCCACTTTATAGTATGCCAGGGTCGGCTGGTTTTCGAACACGGATGGTGCTGGCGTGGGATGCTGCATGGAATGGTACGCGCAAGAACATGCTAATACGGCATGTCCTTCCTGGCGACGTGCGTCCGATCCGATCGAATGGTATACCCATCGTGTAGTATATGTAACGTTTTCCCGAGCGATGTGGCCAGAAAGCGCCCCCCACGGCGCACATGCGCATACTACGAGATTGCTCGGTGCGCGCGTCGCCCCTGGGGGAGCGACGCACACAGAAGATCAGTATGTTGGGGTGGCGCCAATGGAACCTCCCAGGAGATGCCTCCTGCCTGGGCGGCGGCATGCAGCCGTGCACCAGCTCCACGGCCCACCTGCGCACCTCCGCCAGCTCCCCGGCGCGGGCCCGCCTCTGTCCGGGGGAGGGCCAGGCGAGAAACGACACAGGGCATACACGCCGTCGGAGCTCCGCGCGGCGCTCTGGGCATCGGCGCCTGGGCCCCCTCACGAGCGGCGAGCGTATCCATCTGCACGCCATCGCGGTCTGGATTCGGGGGCGCGATCCCGCGGATACGCGTTCGCACAAGTACGATCCGCGCGGGGCATCCGCGAAAAAACGCCCCGCATCCGCTGGATCGCGGCCCAGGGGCCCGGCCCGACAGGCCGCGGATGCGGATACGTGTTTCGCCCACAGACCCCCTCCCTGACATCGGATCCGTCGTACAGTAGGCGATGTCGTAGGTGGGACGGCAATTCCCGCCCCACTTTTCAAGCTCTTCTGATGTCGATGTCCCCCCCACCTTGCCGCCGCCACTTCCGCCGTGCTGTTACAGAAATCACCGCTCTACTTTGCTGAGGCGTAAATTTCCGCCCTGCTGACTCGCATCGGATAGGATGGATTCCCGTACAATTCACCAAACTGTACCCACTGGTCAGAAGAGGTCGGTAGAAACATGAAGTAGGCAGGCGTTGAAAGAGGATTGGGTGCCCTTCCGCCCCCTTGGGACGACGGAACAAAGTAGGAAGGCGCTTAAAGTAGATTGGCATGCGGGAATCCAAAAATACCTACTTTCAACGACCGATGGGTAGGGCGGCTATCCGAGGCGGCGCCCCCAGCGCCGTCCGCCGCGCGCTCCGCGCGCCAGGGAAGGGGGGGTCCAAGGTCGACCCAGCATGTCCGCTGGGACCTCCACAAGCGTACGTTCCTCGCATCGCGTAACCGACCCCGTTAGCCCCGTGGGCGTGGCCTGGGCCGCACTGGCCGATTCACCCTCCTAGGTGGGGATACAGGCTGCTTCCTTCAGGCTTCGAGGGGTACATCCTCAACTGAGACGCTCAGATGATGGGAGTCAGGATGGGGATGGGCATGGGGCTTGGGACCGTTCTCTCTCCTTCGAGCCTCTCCTGCCTGACCTGGTCTTGGATCAGCTCCTCCAGCAGGGTGATCTGCCGAGGGTCGTGGACCGCCAGGTTGTCCAGCGCCGTGCCGCTCTGGATCAGCTCCTCCTGCCTCCGCAGGACCTCTGCCAGCGTCCTGGAGTTGTCCATGCGGCACTCCGCCACGACCCCCTCGAGGCGGCTCAGGTCGGAGCGCAGCACGTCCACCAGGGTGCTCAGACGACTGATCTCCGCCACCTCCACCTCCTCCTGCATGCGCGCCCGCGACGTGTCCTTGCTCGGGCTCCACAGCGGCCGCCCCTCCGCGTCGTCTTCTTGCCGCGCGCTGTTGAGGACAGTGAAAAAGCCCTGTGCCATCGGTCCCCCTCCTTCTCCTCCACCTCCTCCTCCTCGGAAGCTGCTGCAAGCGCCGAACCTGGCAAACTTCTACACGGGCTTGAGCCAAATTGTTGCGGACCCGGCCTGCGTGAGTTGGGAAGGAGGAGACGAGGGCCCGCAGCAGGGGTGTCCGCTTTGGGTCTGGGTAATCGAAGAATAAAGGTACTGAGTGAACAAGTGGAAGAGTTGGCACGAGTGCACCTAGCATGCCTCAGACTCTCTCTTCCTACCCCAACAACTCCCACGAGGAATTTTCACAAAAGCTGTGTGGAACACGTAATCCAATCGATCCATATGTGTATATATATATACATAAGCACACCAGCACCATCGCGCGCGCTCAAGCTCTAGCTGGGCTGGGTGACCTCCATCTCTGGGACCATTTCATGATCCTTCTTCTCCGGGGCTTCCGTAAAACATGAAAACGACCCAAGTGGCTTCCAAAACTTCGTACGGTCTACCCTTTGCCGCGGTTAAACTTAGCTGCAGAGAGAGGGAGGAGAAAGGAAGGTGAAGGGGTTCCCTGGGGGAGATGGCGGAGGAGGATAAAGAGGATGATGAGAAGGCCGCAGAGGATGAGAAATAGGAGGAGGAAGAGGAGGAAGCATGAGATGCGTTCCTTGTGTTCTGAAGCATAGCAAGGCTGCCAGACGAACTTGTGAAATTCAGGGAATGCTGGAACTTCCTGTCTTCAGGAGCCCGAGGGGGCCTCTTTGGATGCTCTTTGGGGCCTGTGTGGGTCTTCTTGGGGACCTCTTGGAGGCATCCTCGGGGCCTCCTGGGGCCCTCTTGGAGCATCGGAACCCACGGTTGGGGCCCTCTCGGGTTACGGTTGGGGCCCTCTCGGGCCGTCTTTGGACGTCTCCTCGGCCGTTTTAGGAGCCGTCCTGGGGCGCCTTTGAAGCCTTAGTGGGCCGTCTTGGGGCGATCCTCGAGGCCTCTTGTGGCGTCCTGCGGCGTCGGGAAGCGGAACAGGCGGAAACGACAACACTGATCAACAGCCGAATCACCTTTGTGTCTATCCGAGCGATCTTGGGAAGCCTCCGGGATGCCTCTTGGGTACCTTGGGGGGCCTCTTGGGCCGTCTGGAAGCCGTCTTGAGCGCCTTGGACCGTCCAGTGGCCTTCGGTCCATCCCGCCGTGCCTGGGCTGTGGGTTAGAGACCTCTTGGGAGGGTCTTTTGGACATCGTGGAGGGACTCTCGGGAGCCTCTTGGAGGCAATTTTGGAGGCCCCTTGGGGGCCGTTGGGGGCCTCTTTGGGGGGCCTCTTGGGCTCTCTCGGGGGCCTCTTGGGGCCCCCAGGCGGCCTCTTGGGGCGGAAGGCTCGAATTGTCGGTTCGTATTCCGCATCTTGGGCCCCTCGTGGGGCCATCTTGGAGCCCTCTTGGGCGATCTTGGGCGCCCTCTTGGAACGTCTTGGGGCCCTCTTGTGGGCCTCTTGGGCCGTCTTGGGGCGATCTTGGGGGCCTCTGGGGGCCTCTTGGAGCGTCGGAGCCCATAACGCGAGAACGTGACAACACATAGAACAATACATGAAACTCACGGATGGGTGCCCCTTTTGGCCCTGTTGTGGGTCCTCTTGGAGCGCTCTTGGGGCGTCCGTGGGGCCTCTTGGGCCATCTTGGGCGTCTTGGAGCGATCTTCGGCCGTCTCGGGGCCCTCTTGGACCTGCTTGGGGGCCTCCAGGGGCCGTCTTCTTGGAGGCCTCTTGGGCCGTCGTGAGGCCGCAAGCAGGGGTTGCCCGGTTGGTTGCGGAGTGGGCGCGCCTGGGCCAGGGGGGTGTAGTGTATACATCTGTATATATATATGTATATATATATATATATGTATATATATATGTATATATACAGATGTGTGTAACTATGTGTATATGTGTGTTCATAGTATTGTATGTATGCATGTATGTATGGATGGATTGATGGATGGATGTAGTGAGGTATAACTCTATGTATGTATGTATGTATGTATGTATGTATGTATGTATGTATGTATATATGTATGTATGTATGTATGTATGTATGTATGTATGTACGCACGCGTGTATGTATGGATGTATGCATGTATGCATGTATGCATGTACGTACGTACGTATGTGGACATGTATAGCTGTATGTAAATATGTAGGAAGGTATGTGTGTACGTATATGCATGTATGTATGTATGCATATGCACATGTAGAGATGCATACGTGCATGCATGCAGATATGTAGCTATGTAAACATGTATGCATATGTATGCATGCCTGCATACATGCATGTACGTCGATATGTATACATGTATGTATGTGTGCATACATGAATGCATGCATGCATGTATGCATGTATGCATGTATGTACATGTGTGCGTGTGCGGGTATGTATGTACGTATGTATGTATGTATGTATGTATATATGTATGTATGTATGTGTGTATGTGTATATGTGTATGCATGCATGCGTGCATGCATGTATATATGTATGTATGTATGCATGTATGTATGTATGTGTTTACGTACGTACGTACGTGTGTACGTGTGTGTGTATGTTTGCATGTGTGCATGAATGCATGTATGTATGGATGTATGTATGCCTGTGTGTATGTATGTATGTATGCATGCATATGTGTATGGATGTGTGCGTATGTATGTATGTATGTGTATGGGTATGTATGTATGTATGTTTGTATGCATGTATGTGTGATTACTATGTATGTATGGATGCCGGTATGCATGTATGTATGTACGCATGCATGCACACATGCATGCATGCATGCATGTATGCATGTATGTATGTGTGTATATATAAATGTACATATGGATGTGAGATTAGCTTGACTTGGGCCCAACGTTTGGACACACAGGCGTTTTCCCGAAAAGCGGGAGCGGCAGGGGTTCGCTGCGGGCGTCTTCCATATGAGGCAGAGGCTGCAAAAATGGCGCGACGCAGCGGGACGCAGAAGAGAAGAAGGCATAGAGGAGGAGGTTGATGGCGTCTGGGGGGCTTGCTCTGGATCAGGCGAGCCCAAAACCGAATCGACAAGTCCGATCGGCGATCGAAACGAATCGGATCCACGGAAATCAGCAGCCGAGTCGGAAGCAGTCGAATCGGCGGAAATTGGCAGGCTACCACGCGTCAATTGAGAAATCGGAATCCAAAACGGAATCGGAATCCATCGAAGTCGAAATCCAGCGGAATCGGAATCGGAACCGGAACCCATCGAAATTGAATCGAACAGGAGGAGTCGACATGGGAGCCCTGCTCTGGATGGGCACCGGCAAAAAGCCAGTCGGGAGGGGGCAACTCGGCATGCAATGTGCATCTGGCAATGGCGCGCCAGAGGGGACGGGGAACTGAGCCTGAACAGAGAGAAAGGGGCCAAGGGACACAAGCAGAAATAGACAGACAAAAATCCGCCGGCCCCCTTCTGGGGCCACCAGGCTGTAGGCCCGTGATTCGCAGTTTCCTGTACCAGTTGTAGTTTGTAGTTTCCAGTGTTACAGTTCTGCTTCTTGCTGGTTACTGGAACTAGTTGATTGACCGCGCGAGGGGAGGGAGGCCCAAACCAGATTTTTAGCACCACCTGGGCGCGTTGTCTGAATTGCTGGTGGGGCTCGAAATCGACACCCCTCACGCAGATCCGCGGGGTCAGGGTCCAAAAACACAAGGATTTGACACATTTTTGAAATTCGGTGCCACCCCTCACGCAGATCCGCGGGGTCAGGGTCCAAAAACACAGGGGATGTGCTACATTTCTGAAATTCGGTGCCACCCCTCACGCAGATCCGCGGGGTCAGGGTCCAAAAACACAGGGGATTTGCCACATTTCTGAAATTCGGTGCCACCCCTCACGCAGATCCGCGGGGTCAGGGTCCAAAAACACAGGGGATTTGCCACATTTCTGAAATTCGGTGCCACCCCTCACGCAGATCCGCGGGGTCAGGGTCCAAAAACATAAGGGATTTGCCACATTTCTGAAATTCGGTGCCACCCTTCACGCACATCCATCGCAAGGCGTGGTAACCCAACTGCGAGAACTCCCTCGGCCCTTTATCGCAAGGTGTGGTAACCAAGCCCGTAAACCATACACGTCTTACCAATCGCCAGGTGTGGTAACCCCTCTTGTGATCAGTTGGTTTTGCTGCTTGCGAATCGGCTTCGCATGAAGTTTCGATACTGCTTCACGACAGCGCCAAGGCCTCATGACTTAGCTCTTCCATGGCCCATTCTCCGAGAGAGGGGGCCGGCGGCAGGGGGCGAAGCCCTTACGGATTCCAGAATTCCCAATATTGCGAAGGCCTTACGGCTGGTGCCGCCGACCCTGAATGGCGACGACGACGACGACGACGACGACGAGCGCTCTCGGGGCCTCTGGAGGGTAGTTTGGGGGCCAGGATCCCCCATATTTCCCATATTTCCTATATTCCCTGAATGGTCGTCTTCCCCTCCAATTCCCAAATTCTCCAATCGACAACTCTTTGTGTGCGTCCGTAGTTTCTCCCACTCCTGGTAATTACAGTGGTGCCTCTCCCTCAGTCTCGCGACTGGAACCCGTGATGCCCCACCTCAGCCCCCCAGGCGGTTAGGTCGGGCGTGTCCCCCTGCAGGCGGATTTTGGACGGAAAATTAAAGATAGTCCAGAAACAAATCCTCAAAAATGGTCAAAAATCATCGAAACATCATGCCCAGACTATTTGCTTACTATGTTTGAGAATTCCTCCTGTAGAAAGACGTGCCCGATTTAAGACAGAGGGAGAAAGACAGCGAGGGAAGCCGCAGCGGGAGGAAGCCGTGGTGCACGGCGAGAGCTCGCAGCGAGCGAGCTGCGTCCGCCCGCCGACTGCCACGCCAGCGAGACTTCCACCACGGTGTTGGGCCGCCCGCGCCACGGGCGTATCCCCCGAGAGGGAACGCGAGCTCATCGCAGTCACTACCTCCAAGCAGGGCTGAACGGTGTGTTTCGTTTTCATGTTGTTTTCGTTTTCGCTCGGTTTGCCATCAATCCACCTCTACCGCGAACCGAAGTCGAAACGAGAACGGCCCACGGAATCGCCAAAACTCCGTTTAGGTCCAGCCCTGACTGGCGTATCCCTCGAGATGGAACGCAAGCTCAT